TTGACATCTTATTTGCAAAATCGCGTGAGAAATCGTTATTCCGCCATTCCACGAGTTAACAACCATTTCCAGGTATTATGACTGCAGATATAATAAGTATCTAGAAACAATATTCAAACTTGAAGAAATGTGTTGACGTTCATAGTATGTTTTGACAGCACATTAATCGCATTTAATATATAGAACAAAATGAAGTATTTGAAACACGTACAAAATTAAGAACGGAGACACTTTTACTCCTTCTCAGGCAGGCAGATCCAAAACATGGCATAGGAGAGTGATCCGAAGCTTTTGGTGGGTTAACGTATTGCCCAAAATGATTTAAAATAAAAGCTTACTGTAAAGGGATCCTACTCGAATAAGTAGAGTAATGCCATGGGTCGAACTAAGACCCAAAAGCTCAATACTGCTAATACAAAACAGAAAATTATTTCTTTCTTTTTTTTTGTCATCAAAACGGAAAATATTTCATTTATGAGAAAAACACTATTTCATAGATTTTGTAAAATAATTAAATTGAATGACGTTTTGTTAATTTTCATATGTACCACTACTTACAAATTTTATATACACAGAAATAGCATATAGTTTATTAGAGATTTGAGAACTATTAACCACTCTGACTTTTGAATCTGAATTTGGACATAACAGGTGCATTTCCATAAACCAACCTCCGGTCAATTAACCACTACTTCAAAATTTATCAATACACAAAGACCTATATTTACATCATTAATTAACTATACGAAACATGAAAATAAATACATTATATTATAAATTATATAAAAAAAGGACTCGTCGAGTTTAGTCTATATCATAAGCTCTATATAAAGCACAGCAAATTCCGCTTCAAACATCAAACAAGTTCAATTTGAAAGAACAAAGCACTGTTTTAATATTGGACTTTGTAATGACAATCTCTGCGATGGGAAAGAAACGTGTGGTTCTAGGTTTAGCAATCTGTCTCATTCTCTCAAGCTTCCATGAGGTTTCTTGCCAGGTAAGTAAACCACAGTTTTAATACGATATATAAAACACAATTAAATTGACTAATTGCATGCATTTGATTTTCATTTCAGGCTGACGCAAACGACGATCCTAATCTGATGTTCGACGATCCAGAAAATCCAGGTAGACAATATGTTGTTTTTCTTTAGTAATAGTATCCAGTTTGAGTCTTTTTTTGGTTGTTGTTGCCAATCACTTCGAAGAAGAAGTAGGTCAACGTAATTAAAATCCTTTTCCTTCTTATTTTTATTTGTGTTGGCTTTTCTCTAATGAAGACAAATAATCTCTTTTTAATAAGGTTTTTCAAGAATGAGTCCTATTACAATAATTGGGGATCAGGATGAAAACGAAAGTGGTAGCGGTAGCGCAGGGGGGAGCAGTGTGGAAATAAACAGTGCAACGTCTAGTGAGGAGAGATCATCATCTGCGTTTCAGTCAGATGAATCAGTGACAATCCAAGGAGGTTCTTCTTCTCATGAGGTTAAAAACAATAATTAATTGCTGTTTTGGAGTAGATTTTTTTGGTATATATGTACTTTTTCTAATCTCTTTGTTGTGCACTTTGTATCTATAGTCTGGAGCTGCTAGTGATCAAGAAGGGACTCCACTTTCGGATCTAGCGGACCACGTCCGACGTCTAACTGAAGGTATATTGTCAAATTAACATCCATGAAATAAAACAATAGTCAAATTAATTGTTTTTCAGACATGGATGATATGATTTATGTTTGTCTTTTTCCCGATTGTAGAACATTTAGGTGATATTACTAAGGGACAAGGTGGATTTGCTGGTGGTAATAAAGTTGGTGAATCTAAAGACCCTGAAGATAATGGTACAAAAAATAAAAATTTCCTCCTTACTTTGTTTCTGACACTTTTAAAAAAAAAAAAAAAATTCTCAGACATGGGTGATGATTCACTGAAAATGGATCGATGACTTATTATGTTTGTATTTTTCTGACTGTAGATTTGTTCACTGGTCGTAATCTTAATGTAAAACGTGTAGTATCTAAGGACGCTGGTGAAAATGGTAAGATATAAGAAGAAAAACAAAAAAACTCTTCCTCTTTTTTACTTTGTTTATGATCTTACATGCATAGTTGTTTTTGATAATTAACTAAGACATTTGTATTATTTTCTGTTTTATTCAGATGCAAGACGGAAGCTGGACGAGATTGACCGCGATATCAAAGGTAACATGGTTACTAAAATATTACTACAAAATTAGCAAATTATTAATGTTATTTTTTTTTTTGTGCACTTTTGAATCTCTTAATATTAATGTTAATTAATCTCTTAATTAAGAGTTTTGTTTGTGTTAACCGCCACCTGTTCCATTTCGATCCTAGCTGCGGCAGCTCAAAAAATTGAAGAACAAACATTTACAAAGACGACACGTCAAAGCAAATCTGAAGGTAAATGTTGAGATGGTATAACAGTAGCTATTCTTAAAAGGGTTGTAAGATCATTGCAATGTATATATTCCTTAATTCTTTTCTTTAGCAGAGTCTATGGAAAGTAGTAACCAATTCGAGTCGTCAAAGAAAAGCAATAGTGGCTCAAGGGTTATCGGATCTCTAGGAATTGGACAGACAGGTTTATCTCTCAATTAAGCTTTAATTCAGACACCTTACACAATATCCATTAACATAAAGATGCGAGAAAGCAATGGTCGTACAAGTGTTTTTTATTGATTAGTTAATATATAGGCTTATTTATACAAAAAATTCTAATTTAACCTACAAGTTATTTAAAACCAAGAAATCTGAAGTTGTACATATATTATTTTATTTTACATATATTAATTTTCCTAGGAAAAGTGAATAAATGTGTTCAAATTAATCAAGAAACTGACGAGGTTTTGCTTTGTGTGTGGCAGGTATGTGGCGCTGCGTAAACCAAGACCAAAATGGTAATAAGGAAGATGATGATTCTCCCATCGTTATACCAAAGTATAACTTAGATGACATCATCAAGGAAGAATCCACTTACGAGGTTAATTTCTTCTTAGACTTGGAGGAGGACATTTTCCATGAAATATGAACAATATTTAAAGTAATTAAACTTCTTAATTATTAACACCACCATAAATGGATTTCCATTGCTATGTAGGGCTCCTCGTCAAAGACCTCTAGCCTCATAGCATCGCTGACCGCGATTGTTGAAAAGCATAAGCAAGGAAGAGGTTCGTCTTCAAGCGTAAGCATAGGAAAGCGTACAACTACGGAAAAAACTGAGACGATAGAGAAGATAAAAGTGCACCTGAAACAATATCGTAATATAAAAGTGAAAGAGCTTGTGACTCGTTCAGATTTCGAGCAGATACTAACGATGGCTTCACGTTATGAGGAGCTGACCTCAGCTTCGGTAAGCTACATCGCGAGGCTGTCCAAGTACAAGAGTGTGATAAAGGAAGAAACCAAGGCCACTAAGCGAGTCCAACTTGCACACCAGCGTGCCACCTTGCTCAATGAGATGGCTAATGAGAAACAGACAAGGGTGGATGCTGAGCTTGAGTTGGTTAAAACTTACGCTCAAAAGGGTGATGCGTTGTACGTCAAAATATTCGCCTTGAAGAAAGCATTGTTGAAGCTTGAGGCCGAGAAGAAAGAGGTTGAGATGAGTTTCCAAAAAATTGTTGCGAATCTAGCAATCGTCATAGAGGAGGCTGCTCGGGCCTACGAGGAGCATCATGTGGCTGTGCGGCAGTGGAGAGAGGAGAAAACATCTCTCGAATTCTCGTATGAGGCCATAGAGAGTGCAGAGAGCGTTTGGGTTAGCTTTCTTGGCACTCTCTAAAGAGACAATAAGACTTATTTTCTTCTCTTTTGATTTTACACACTTTGTTTTTCTTTTCGATTGGTACGGTGTTCGGATCAAACCTGACTAATCTTTTTGTTTTTTTTTAAAATAATTTTACATTTTGTCTCGATGTTTATTTTACATTCTATATCATTTCATATGGAATAACTTGTGTTCCATGCGAGCGCCTTATATATCCACGAGAGTCATGTTCTATTGGGTTTTCTATTCAACTAGGATTTTTCTTTTTTGGTCATCTGAATCGGTTGTGTAAACAACTCTGGAAACTTAGTCTGAGGAAGCGAAAATCTCTTGAAAAACATATCCCTACGAGAAGGAAACAAAGCAAACAACAACAACAAATTATATACTAACTAAAAGGGACTAACTGAGACCCCTTAAGCTACCCACCTAAGCAAAAACAAGAAACTACTCTATAAACTTGCCACCTCAGCAGCCATTTGTCCTTAGTTATTTAATCAGCTATCAAACTTACCGAAAAAGATACTATAATTCAATAAAACCGTGGCCAATTAAAACCATAAGGCCCACTATGTTTCCTTGGAAAAAACTTAGTGTGGAAGTACGTTCTGGTTGACACATACATACGTTTAGTGAAAGAAGGATGTGGAGATGAGGAGGAGTCACACACTGATGATTAGAGATCACGGAGGAGACATATAAAATCTCAGCTATTTTCTTTCGACC